AACTTTATTGATACTATATCTTTTCTACCATCTTGGTTTTTATTCAATCAATTTTTTATCTCTACCTCCATACCTAAAATGTCCTTTCCCAAAACACTGAATTACCTTACCAAGTCCTCAAACTTGATATTTTCTAAAATATTTTAGAATCCCTATCCTAGTCTTTCTAAATTTTTAAAATATTTTTTTTTGCCACAAACTCCTTTATAGAAAACCTTCTTCATCTAGTATAAACTGTCATTTGCCCTGTACCTTTTCTGATCATACTTTCTTAGCCTGTTTCTCTAGTTTTTCTCCACACTATGTCCCTTTATATCACAATATTCTCTGTGAAATATCCTGGCTTTTCTTTTCAATATTTTTCTTCCTTTAACAATCCTGCCCACTCCCATACCTTGAAATACATGTTTATTATGTTGGATGATTACACCTTCAGCTTAACTCCTTCTCCTAAACTGAATCATCCATGCACTAATTTTCCCATGAGATATATTAATCTGAATATATCATTGCTACCTCAAGCTCAGTATATTTGAATTAAATTGATATTCTTTTTCACTACACTAAGAAATCTGTTCTTCTTTTTTCATACCCTGTATCTCCATTACTGGCTACAAGCATGATGGAAACTTTGATGATCTTAGTTCCAAGGAAAGTTCCTACTTTCCTTGGAAGGCACTGTATCTCCTGCACCCTAAACTGAAGCTAACACTTCTTCAATGTGACCTCAAGCCCTCTTCTACTCACTTTTCTTTATAACTTTTATGGTTGTAGGTCTGTCCCCCTTTGTCTCTCAGTCAGTCCCTGATGCCACTGGCCTTCTAGCTTCTAAACTCATCTCTCTTCATTCTAGACAAACAAAATATCACTCTTCTGCTTGAAGTTTCCAGAGGCTACCACCTGCTTAAACTCCAATATCTTACCATAGTTTGAAAGTTTATTGATAATCTGGTCCTAACTCACCAGATTGGCATGAAATCTTTTCATTGCTATCCAACATCCTGGGCTTAACCTGCAGGGTACTACTGGGAATTTCAAGATCTAGGAATGCTGTTGTGCCTTTTCATTTTTATTTTCTTTCTTGTCTCTGCTTAGAATGACATTCTACTCCTTCCTCAGTCAAAATCCAACTCATCTTTCAAGACCCAGATCATTTATTAAATTCTCTTTGAAACCCTTCACACTTCCTTTATCAGCCAAATAACCTCTCTGCTCTTCTAATGTTCTATTCATGTGTATGGTATGCCATGTTGTAATTGTGTATTTATAGTGTTGTTTAATTGTGAGTTTCTCCTAAAGCTGATAATCAGTTGAATAATAATTTTTTTAACAAGTTAATTGTGAGTTTCTCAAGAGCAGGGATGGCAATATCCCAATCAGCCTCTACCACAGTGACTACATATTTTAGGTCCTCAATAACTCTCTGTTGTGAATTTACTTAAAAAAGCATATATACACATAAAACATTACATATAATGTATGATAAGTAATATTATATGTGTATATATTATATGTATACACATGTGTACAGTTGGTTCTTAAACAACATGGTTTGAACTGGGCGGTTCCGCATATATGCAGATTATCTTCCACCTTTGCCACTACTTAGACAACAAAACCAACCCCTTATCTACCTTCCTCTTCCTCCTCAGCCTATTCAATCTGAAGACAATGAAGATAAAGACCTTTATGATGATCCAGTTCCATTTAATGAATAGCACATATATTGTCTCTTCCTCATAATTTTCCAAATGTCATTTCCTTGTCTCTAGCTTACTTAATTATAAGAATATAGTATATAATATGTATAACATACAAATATGTATTAATTGACTGTCCATATTATCTGTAAAGCTTCTGATCAATAGTTGGCTATTAGTAGTTAAGTTTTGAGAGTGTCAAAAGTTATACATAAATTTTCTACTGTGCATGTGGGTCAGTACCTCTAATCTGTGCGTTGTTCAAGGGTCAACTTTATATATCCTATGTTTGTTGTATATATGTATTTATGTGTGTACTTACAGTTTATGTATCTTCCACCATATGTATTCATATATATGAAGCACTTTAGGGGTGAAAAAGGCCCTTAGATATCATTTTATCTATTCATTGAATATTACAAAATAGGAAACCAAGAACCAAAGTCATTAATGACTTTACCAAAACTCTATACCATGTTAGTAATATGCACAGTTTGAGTTCCTGTCCCAGATCTTCATCCAGTGTAATAACTTTCACTACATCATTTTAATTCAATCATCTCACAATTAATTTGATTCCCTATAATTTTCTGTACCAAGACCAAGCTTACCCTATTGGAATAGGCATTCTGGATGTAGGATGCAATAAATTCCTCTTTAAAGGTTTAGGTTGTTAACTTCCTTTAAAATTCAAGAGGGGAAAATCATTAAGTACCATGAGTTCTGAGTTCTTCAAAGAACCAATATGTCAGTATGTTCAGCTTCCCTGTTCTTTGTTTTCCATTTTAAAGTATAACTTCCTCGTTCTTTACATCTTCTTGTCCCTATTTCAGTAAACAACCCCCTCCTAGACTCTGTCACCTGCTCTGTCCTTAGTCATCCTACAACTCACTCCACCACTCTGGCTCATACACCTGCTCTCTCTAAAACAGTCAATCAGAAGCAGCTTAGACTGTGCAGTCCAACCCTAGCCAATAGGGGGAAGACACAGCAGTAGGGACTAGCTGCATTAGGGATAAGACCCTGTTTCTCTCCCTTGTCCAGTGTGTTCTTGCCATTGTTCCATCCACTAGACACACCCTTCTATAGAAATAAATTGCCTTGCTGAGAAAACTTTGGCTGGAATGCTATTTTCACTTTGCGGCACCAAGCATTTTACTTACAACATGCAATATCTCACCTCTTTTCTCTTTCAATTCCCTTCTTGCTTCTTTATTTTCATCAAGTGATACACACTTAATGATTCTGTAGCTGCTAAATTTTCATTTATGTTATATCCTTTTTCTTTAAATATTGTCTAGTTCTTTTGAGAACTACTTTCACCTCCTTTATAGATATTTTAAAGCCTCCTTTCCCTTTGGTAAAAAATAATAAGGGAGTCATTATTTTGCTTTCCAATTGAATGAATTTAACCAAACCAAGGATCACCATTAAAGAAATATCTTTAACATCCTTATCATACTAGCTTTCATTTGCATACAGCTTTGAGGTTTACAAATCACTTTCTCATAACTGATTTGATTTTCACACACTGTGGATACACAGAAGAAGGTGTCATCACATTTACATGCAGTTGAGAAAACTCAGAGTCAAAAGTTAAGTGAACTGCCAAAATTCCTATAGCTAGCAAGAGCTGGGACTAGCACTGGAATCAAGGTCTCCATAACATTGTTTCCAAGAGCGTTCCACTATTTTCAGCTGTTTATTGGCTTGTGCTCATACCATGACATTTATGATGACATATATTGGCACCTCAGATGCTGTACAGTGAATGTTGGCTAGTCTCTTTTCCATGTCAATTATTGTTTGGCTCTTGTTACTTTGCTAGCATAAATTTCAACTAGACAAGTGCTATTTTGTCCTACACTGACTTACCTCAGAAGCTCTTCCCAAGCATTTATATGATACCATTGAATGGTAAATTATAATTTGATTAATGTTTGTCAGTGTGAATGTGCTTTTCACACTGTCAAACCCTAACTGAGGCTAAACTGGAGATCTTCAACTCTTTGTTTTAAATTGAAATAAATTAGTTTTATTTCATTTGAACTCATTAATCAACTGATCTTCAAACTTAAAGTATTAGCAAGAATAATCTTGCTTTTTAAAATATATGTATGTTTCATGCAATATTTTAAGACAAATTGTGTACTTTGACTTTAAATAAATTTCTGTTTAATCTCACTAAATTTCTAGATAGCAGCACCGCTTTTAAAAATTTCAGATACCGATATTGATGCAACTGTAGAGTAGATTGAGCTATCTCTTCGGCAGTGGTGCAGAGATGGGCTGAAGCAGGGAAAGAGATCCACTCTCTGAAACCCGTTTGCAACCTCATCATGAATACATACTTTCCCTTTCAACTACAACTTTCTCTTACTGTTTGGCCTGACCAAGTTACTCTTAAATTACCCCCTAGCTCTAAGCAATAAGAATAATCTTTTCCCATTTTACTCCTATGAACATGTGAAGTTTCCTGTCCGCTAAAGAATTCTCAATGTTTTCTAATGGAAAGAGAAAGCGAACCGGCAGCAAAGGGGTTGGTAATGCCTCACTCCGTATTGTTTTCCTGCCTGTCACAGCCCCGCCAGGACCTCCAAGCATTTTGCCAGGGCGTACTGATGGACAGTTAGTTGCTGCTTTTGTTGGGTGATTGAAAAACAAAGCAAAAGAATTCTCAAGGAAGGAAGGGAAAGTTTGAACCCAGGCATCCTAAGAGTTGTACACTTTAAAAATCCTTCGATTCGCTAGTTAAGAATTGAGTTTTTCAGGCTTTCCGAAGGCCTCACTGGAGCCCCATTTGCCTCTAATTGTTGGAACTGCCCTCATTTGGCTTGTTTCTGAGTATCCCACATATCACAAAGCTAAACTTAACAATTTCAACTCTATATCTACAAATACCATAACAGTGGGTATATTGCTCGCCTCAAGAATTATGACCGACGCTAAACTCTTTGCTTGTTCTTTGCTAGAAGTATGTTGGAGAAACTCCTAGCAGAATGAGAATCCAGAGATTAAAAATATTGCACTTCATTATGGAAGTGCAGCATTGCCCTCATTAACTGCAGAGCTGCGAGAGAAATATTCCAGCGACTCACTGTTGCCTCTTAGTTGTTTTGCTTCTCTTTCATAATTGCATCGGACATGACCTATTTGCTTCCTAAGAAATCATACTTTTTACCTTAGGAACCCAGTGTAACCGGGCCATCCAAAAGCACCGGGGGCCCTGCAGAAGGCCATCAGCTCCTTAATGTGGCCCCAGATGTGAAGATGGGGAAAGGGTGACTCCGTCCCACTTACCAGTCTTCCACAGATAGAGGGTGGGCGCCTCCGCCTCGCCCTGCGCTGCAGCCCTGCAGGCGCCCGGGCGCAGCAGCAGCAAGAGGAGCTGCAGCGGCAGCAGCTGCAGGACGCCCCGGCGCGGCCCCGCAGCGCCCCGGCTCCCGGACGCCCAGCGCCTGGCTTGCAGCCCCATGCCGCCCGCAGCCACTCCAGGGTCCAGAGCCGCAGCACGCTCGGCAGGGAATTTTTCTCCGCTCTTGGAACGTCTTCCCAAAGAGTACAGAAAGCAAAGCTCTTTCCTGCTATTGTTCGCTTCAGATGAGAAGGAGGGAGAGCGCGTCTAACACCAGGGAACAATAGCGTCCGAGGTGGTGGCGGTGGCCGCAGCCGCCGCTGCCGCTGGCGGGGATGCTGCTGCCGCTGCCATCCCGCGCAGAATGGAAGGTCCCGGCGGCTCCGGAGGCAGCTGTCCTCAGGGAGCCTCAGCTGACTGAGCAGGTCTGCTAGGTCTGGGAGGCAGCGCAGCCCCCGCCAGCTGGAGGGGGAGGAGGGGGGCGTGAGCCCAAAGGAGCGAGAGGGGGCTGGAGGCAGAGGGAGGTGAGAGTACCAGGGCGAGAAGGGGAGCGAGGAAAGGGGAGAGGGGACTGCCAGGCGACACCCAGCTCCGACATACCCGCCTAAAGAACTCCTGTGCACATGGTGCGATGAAATATGTTTGGAAGGATGAACCAATAAAAAGAATCATCACCCGGCAGGTTTCAGAATGACAAATAACAGGCATTGATATTCATTGTCACCCAAGGAGTCAAATGCTAGATCTAGTGGCATGTTATTCTTAATACGTATTTACACAAAGCATCAGAGTTTAGGATCTATTTTTAAGCCACGGCTTCTGAATTACTTTGTGTGGGGAGCTGTGTTTGAGATCAGATGTGAAAACATCAGAGCAGCAATGTTTACTTGTCAAAAAAACTCATTTAAACACTTCTTTAAATGTTGTTTTTAAGTCAACCTATTCTCAATAAAAATTTTGAGCAATATTGATGTTCTGTGACAAAGTGTCTTTTAATAGCCTTTAAAACTGAATTAGTATTTAATGAGTATTTCCAATACTACCTAATTACATTAGTACAATTGTACAAAAAATAATCTTAAAATTATATTTCAGGTATAGAGTTCTGTCCCTTCATCTACTTCTCTCTGTCAAAAATATGCTAATTCTAAGTATTCAGGCAGTTGTGAGTCAAATTAAAGGCCAAACTGAGTCAGTAATGCTGTCTGGATATCTCAGAATTAGTAAATTCTTCATTTAAAATTTCATTGACTCCAGTTTTTCTTAACTCTTACTGTAGCAAGATGCCTGTCACAATCTAAAGAAAGAACCACATGGGTTTGCATCTTTTGTCTTTTATGTTTTCACTTTCTTCTACCAGTAGTAATAGAAGAATGTGTGTGAAGTAAGATAATGTTTTACCCTTCTCCTTCTCCAGTATTTACCCGATAATAATATTTTATTATTAATTCATTTCATAGTAAAGGTAAAATAGTATCAAGGCATTTAGCCATCAAAAACTCAGCAAATGGAAAACCAAAGACAACTATTATCTCATCAACAATTTTCAGCCAAATAAAATAAAATTTCAAAAGCAGGAAAACTACTTTTTATGAATTTACTCCAACACAGCTACTCAAGAGTTTAAAATGAGGAAGCTAGTGTTTCTGAAAGAGGAAACCTTCCATAAGGCTCCCTTGGGACCCGTGTCATTTTGCAGAGCCTTCCAGACACAGCCCTTCTGCATGCATTAGATTAAAGCAGGTTTGATCAAATAATTCCCAGGTCCTGCCTGTTTAAGTATTCTGACATCAGAGGAAATTAGCTACGTTGAAGGTTGCAAATTTGGTCTTTGTTTACTTTCCACTCTGTTAGGCCTCTAAGAAGGAATTAAAAGCTCAGAGAGCCCTAGCTCTGTGAGTCTGTGATTAGGAGAGATAAGCTAGTGTGGATTACTATTTCTTCACTGGTGAAAAACAGGCAACAATCAAAAGATTACAGGTTGATAAGGAATAAAAAGGAAGCCTGATCCTAACTAATGCATGGTTTCCTGAAGGACCACTTCTTTCAATAGTTACACCACAGAAGAAAATAAGACCTGCTATTGCTTCCCGGGCTCTGTCCTTTCAGGAAAATTTCCTTGTCCACTCCACAAGGAATCATTTTCCCATCCTTTCTGCTTATATTTCTCAGCTATTGTTAGTGCCCTAAACCTCGAAATCCTCTAACTCTGGCACAGGGATAATTTCAAACTCCGCTAACAGCAGCCCATTGTAAGCATTTGTGGGAAGCCCCAGTCGATTCACCAAGTGGGAATTCATTATTACAGAGGACAGAGAATTGGAGGAGCCAAGTTAATGTGCAAGGTAATTACCTAGGCCTTCAAAAAGCCATCAGACACTAAACTTAATAGCTTAATGTCAAAAGAAATTTTAAGATTCTGATCTTTATATTTACCCATGGTAGTATAATAATAACTCAACTCATCAAGAGTGTAAACATTATAGCTACAAATTCAAGGAATATACAGGGTCAACTTCTAGGTTCAAAGCTGCTACCATTTACAATACACAATTATGGTGATATGTTGTGCAGTAGTGTTTGAAAATAGCCAACACTTGTTTTCCTTTTTTCAATTTCAATGTACACAAGGCATAGGTATCACACACACACATGCACATATACAAACACACACAATCATCAGCAAAGACATCTCTGAACAAGGCTAGAGAATCCAAGTCATGTAAACATTTGTCTCCACACCTGCCACACATTTGTTCATAACCATGTCATTATTGCACTTGAGGACAAAAACGTATGGGTCTCTGAGGAGACAAAAGTGAGGTATATATTCGGATACATGTTCCTTTGTGAAAGGTATAGTGTCTAGGTAGATAAATCCTATCAATAAAACTGATAGATGGCAAGAGATAGCAAGATGTAGCTATATTTGTTTTCTAGAACATGACATAAATAATACACAAATGTTTAATGACATGATGTCAAAATTTAGTCATGAGAAGTCTCAAGGATGCAGATTAAATTGACCATCTGTACATCCTGCCATGAAGCAAATCGTTCATCATTTTTCATGGAGAACTGTTCAAATATTAATGAGCCAGTGAGATAAAAGTTTTCCAAACCAATGGATGACAAAGGCAAAGCATATTTTTTAATAGTTAGAAATGAGAAAATCTAAACTTATCACCTCTCATGTGATATAGGTGTCTTTATCATGCCTCTATTAATTTTCCTATCATTTCCAAACTCCAGAGGTGAGAATGTGTACATACCTATGCACATCTGTTTTCTCTTTTATTACAACATAAGCATATGAATATATATTACAACCCATAAAACTCATGACAATGAGTTTTAATCATTAGTACCTGTATTTTAAAACAATTATGAAATTTTCAGTTCCTTGATGGAAAGGGAAACAACTTTTAACATTGTCAGTTTTATAATTATAATAAATAGTGAAAATAGTTATTTGTTGATAGTGTTACATATGGAAGTATCTAAAGATGTTTATTTTGAAATAAAAACTTAAAAATAATTCTCCGCATAAATGCATCTTGCCCCCTAAAAAATAAAAAATACCCAAAGGAATTCTATTAGTGCAACCTCTAGGTGGCACACTTGACCAAGATTTGGCTTAGACAAAATTTATTTTGGGCTTCTTTCTATTCTCCTCTTCCCTGACACCCACATACTAACTTTATAGGTACATCTCATTTTACTGCACTTCACAGACACACACACACACACACACACACACACACATATATATATATACATATATATATGTGTGTGTGTGTGTGTGTGTGTGTGTATATATATAAACATATTGAATGTTTGTTTCAATTTGGCATTGAGCAAGTCTATCAACATAATTTTTCCCACAACATGTGCTCACTTCATGTCTCTATTACATTTTGGTAGTTTTCACAATATTTCTAATGTCCTCATTATTATTGTATCTGCTATGGTGGTCTGTGATTAGTAATCTCTGATGTTACTGTTGTAATTATTTTGGGGCACCACAAACTGTGCCCATATAAAATGGCAATCTAAATTAATGAATGTTGTGTATTCTGACTTCTCCACCAACAAGCTGTTTCCCTAACTCTCTTTCTCTCCTTGGGCTTCCTGTTCCCTAAAACATGCAAATACTGAAATTGGGCTAATTAATAACCTTACAATGGCTTCTAAGTGTTCAAGTGAAAAGAAGAATTACAAGGCTCTAATTTTCAATCAAAAGCCTGAAATTATTAAGCTTATTGGGGAAGACATGTCAAAAGCCAAGACATGCCAAAAGCTTGGCCTCTGGCACCAGTTAGCCAAGTTGTAAATGCAAAGGAAAGTTCATGAAGAAAATTATAAGTACTACGGCAGCAAATACACACGTGAAAGAAAGCAAAGCAGCCTTATTGCTAATATGGAGAAAGCTTTAGATACTTAGATAGAAGGTCAAATCAGTCACAACATTCCTTTAAGCCAAAGCATAATCCAGGGCAAGGCCCCAGCTCTATTTAAATCTGTAAAGACCAAATGAGGAGGAAGCTGCAGGAAAGTATGAATCTAGTAGAGATTAGTTCATGAGGTTTAAGGAAAGAAGCCATGTTCATAAAAAATTGCAAGGTAATCTGTAGCAAGCTATTCAGAAGATGTAGCTAAGATCATTGAGGAAAGTCGCTACATTAAATAATCATTTTTCAAAGTAAACCAAAAAAGCTTTATATTAGAATAATATGCCATCCAAAATTTTAATAGCTAAAGAGGAAAAGTCAATGCTTGGCTTCAAAATTTCAAAGGACAGGTTGACTCTCTTGTTAGGGTCTAATGCAGCTGGTGATTTTAAGTTGAAGCCAATGCTAACTTAGCATTCTGAATATCATATGGCCCTACAGAACGTACTAAATATACTCTGCCTGTGCTCTGTAAAAGGAAGAAGAGAGCCTGAATAACTGCAAATCTCTTTATAGCATGGTTTACTGAATATTTTTAGGCCATAGTTGAGATCTACTGCTCAGAAAATAAGAGTTCTAATGGAGATATACAGAATATTAATGTTTTCATATCTGATAATACAACATTGACTCTGAAGACCATGGCTCAAGGAGTAATTCTGATTTTCAAGTCATCTTATTAAGGAATACATTTTGTAAGGTTTTAGCTGCTTTAGATAATAATTCCTCTAATGGATCTGGGCAATGTAACTTGAAAACTTTCTAGAAAGGGTTCACCATTCTAGATAGCATTGAGAAAATTAATGTTTTATGAGAAAAGGTCAAAATATAAGTATTAACAGGTCTGAAAGGAGTTTTTTGCAACCCTAATGAATGACTTTGAGGGGTTCAAGACTTCGCTGGGCAAAGTCAATACAGATGCAGTTAGAAAAGCAAGAGCACTAGAATTGAAATGAAGTCTAAAGATGTTATTCAATTGCTTCATCCTCATGATAAACTTTCAACATATGAAGAATTGCTTCTTAGGAATGAGAAAATAAAGTAATTTCTTGAAATTGAACCTACTCTTGGTGAAGATACTATGAAGAGTGTTGAAATGACAACAAAGAATTTACAATGTTACATAAATTTAGTTGATAAAGCAGT